GGGGCCAATGCTCTTTGGAGCAGTGGCTGACTCAAGGACTAGACAAGGAAAATACAAAGTAAGTTTGGAATATGACTACTGTAGCAGAAAGCAAGCAGGTGCTCAAACACTAATAAGGAATAGCAAAGGTATAAAGGCCGCTCTGAAGGAGTTCCCTTGTTAACCTGGGACAATCTGAGCATTAATCATTATTATTATGGGAAAAAAATTATGGAAATGAACTACAACACARTGAATAACAATAAAATCCATGGGTCTACAATTTTTTTTTTTAAAAAAGGTAATTCAGAGAGAAAAATAAAAGCTCTTCTTTATTAAAAAACAAAAACAACACCAAAAAACCCTGTAATTGATATAGAATAAAGGAGGGAATTAGAAAATTAACATTTTGCAATCCTTGACTGACTCATATGAATGGATACTAAAACCACTAGGTGAAAGATTGTGGAGATCAGAATTCAAAGCGGCACCCCATAGTGATTACTGATTATCATAAAGGRAAAAAAAGAAAAGAAAACTTCACACTGGAGAGTTCTCAAGGTCACCACCTAAGCCAAGTTACCAAACTCAGCAACACCAATAAAGAACCAGTTTGATATGCCAAGAAGCATGCAGTATCACTCATTCTTGCCAAAAACCTTCAACTTGAATCTAATCATGAACAATTTAGAGAAATGCAGAGTGTGAGACATGCTACAAGTCAGCTGGCCTGCATTCCTCAAAAGGGCAACATCGTGCTGAGGCTGGGGGCTGTGCTGAGGTCAAGAGAGACTAGAGACAAGCACCAAATACAATGTATGAACTCTGACTGGGTCCCGGACCCATAAACGACACTTTGGTGGGGAAATGGGGAAATTTAAATATAAACTATCTATTAAATATTATTAAATCACAATGCAATGACCTAGATGAGTTCATGATACTGTGATTATCTGGAGAATGTTCTGAATCCTAAGAGATGCATGCTGAAATATTTGGAGGTAAAATGTCATGACATCTACAACTTACTTTCAAATGGTTTRGGGGGGAAAAGTAGAGGAGAGGTGCTGGAGGAAGTAAGGGAAAAGGGTAAAAAGAACAGGAACAAAATTTTAATAGTGCTATTTTGAAAGTGACAACTGGAAAGAAATTTAATGTTTCTTCTTTGAGAAAAATAAAATATATTCCTGTGTATATCATAAGAGAAACTGATGTGGAAAGAACCCCAATGATGTGGTAAAAATATTTTTTTGGCTTACCTTTCATTTAAGACTTAGTGCATGCG